CTTCATAACAGCTCTAACCAGGTAAAAAGATTTAACCTGGAGAATGCGAATTTTAAAAGTCAACGGTTGTGTAGTTGTGAAAACTCTTTGAAAATATTCTATTGAAAAATGCTCTTTCGATTACTCAGCTGCTGAACAGCATGTCGAGTGCTTCACGTTCAACTGTGCTTTCGAATGCACGTCGTGAACTTCATTTCGCATTATTTTTATGACTCGTTTTAATCAATTATTTCTGAATGTTTTCCCCTCACCTTTTGCTGAAGTCGTTTTTCGGTGGCAAATCTCATTCCGATGCTTGTGGACTGTGTTTATGAAGGCTCCTCTTCGCTGACCCGGTTTTCGTACAATCCACTAGCCTATACTCCAGTTTCGGTCAGGCAATTCTTGGGCAGTCCCGCAGTTCTTATCATATCAGGCCAAGCAAATTGTGCTAAGCCTTTCTACAGTCCTTTCTTCCATGGGAAGTTTATTTTTAGTGAAGCAGATCACATGCTTTATCAATTCATTAATGAAGGGTTAAAGATTTCGTGTGTCATGGATAACTCGTTTGGTGTTTTTTTCGATCACTTTGCAATCCTCTGTTCATTGTGTTGTGATCAATGTGAGCGAAAATTTTGTGGTATTTTAGCGTTCCTGTTGTCTTTTATAATCCACCTCTCCTCAATTCCAGATACTGTTATGCGTTAATGTGGAAGGTTTTACGGCCTTGTCGTCAGATTTTCACACAAATTGGCTGGGCTCAACAATCGAAATATAGTTTCGCCAATTCACACCTGCGGTTTCCTGCTTACTGTCACAGTCGAATCACTCCACTGACGATGAAACTGGATTCTGACGAGTTTCATTCGCTCTTCACTCCGCAGCTCACTAAACTTAACGATCTTTTCATCGCTAATAAATTCCAACTCAGGTAATAGTCGATGTTCATTCTTCCGACTGGGTTTGATCTCTTTTTCTCTGTTATCTATTTGAGCAGCACTTGAAGACAGTTCCTAAACGTTCTGGGATTTTTATCGATTCAGGATAGCTGGTGGGCCGGTTCGTGATCTTCTGATGGGTATAAAGCCAGTCGATATTGATCTGGCGACGAACGCAACGCCGTCACAAATGAAGGTTGCTGATTACTTCAGTTTATTCATGTTTACGATTTGCAACTTATTCAATCATTTTTTCGAAATCAGTGAATAATAATTTCCTTGGTGTGTTTTTGTTTTTTTTTTACAAAAAAGTCACAAGATGTTCCGTTTCCATGGATCTACGGAATTCAGCCATCAGCCCTTTATTTGCATCACTGCTGCAAATAGGTTCCCAATTCTGATTTCACTCATTAACTTACAGATCACATTTACTGCATAATAGAGTTCTTATATGAAAGGATTGCTATTTCAGGATTTATTTACACGTGAAGGAATTCGTATGTTGAATAAAAATGGTGAAGAACACGGCACAATAACGTGCCGTATTGACGATGTTGAAAATTATGAAATTACAACGTTGAGGTTCGTAATTATGATTTTGACTACATTATTAGTGATCCATCTGTTTGTTTTGTTAAAACTGTTAAGTTTTCGAGAACTTTGGTTCATTAAATTACATCTGTCCAAATGATTTCTTTCTTGAAATAAACTTAAATTTGACTGTTTTGAAATTCAGTTTGAATTCATTTGATTCAGTTTAATAAGTTGCTTAGAATTGATGTGGTGTGTGACGGTCGTCGAGCAAAAGTTGAATTCACAACCGACTGGCAGTTGGACGCGAATCGACGAGACCTCACAATCAATTCACTCTTCTTAGGTTCTTTTTCTCTTCAGAATTTCTTCGTTCGTTATTGAATATTTTGTATTCATGCGAAGATATTGATAATATTTCTGGCTGGTTTTTCTCAGTATCCGCTCCTCTATTTCTGTCTCCGTAATATTTGAGCACTGAGCACACGAAAAGCTTTATTTAATGTTTCGAATGCAATTAACAAGTTTGATTTGTAGAACTGGATGGCACTGTGATCGATTATTTTGGCGGTATTAAGGATCTAAATGCGAGGAGAGTAGCGTTTGTTGGTGATGCAACACAACGGATACAGGTAAGAGATGTGCTTTTTTGGAGAAGGAGGAGGAGGAAGGGACTTCGGAATATTAATTGAAGGAACTGCCTTTCTACTTTAGTAATATCGTAGAATTATTGTTCTAATAATCCAGAATTGGGTTTTTCATTGCTCCTTTGATCCAGAATTTTGGATGAATCTTTGCTCATGATTCGTTTTTGCTATTCAGGAAGACTATTTGCGGATATTGAGATATTTTCGTTTCTTTGGTCGAATAGCAAAATCTGGTAGTGCGCACGAGCGGAGCACGCTAGATGCTATAATTGCGAACAAACAAGGACTTGAGGTATGTAGAAGACTATTCGCATTTTGTTCGTATCATTCTCGGATTTTATTTATTTATTTAATTTCATTTAATTCAAGCAAGATCTCTGTCCACGAAACTGAAACCAATTCATAGGCTGTCGATTCCTTTCGGTAAATTTATTGAGAATCGCGGTTCCGTGTTTCCATCCAACAAGCAGTGGAAATCTCAACAGTCTAGTTTTTATGGGCGTTTTTGATGGATTTTATTAAAGAATATTAGCGGCGAACGTATATGGAGTGAACTGAAAAAGATATGCGTCGGACGATTTGGTGGTGATGTGATGAGAACGATGTTGATTGATTGCGATTTGAACTCGTTGTTGGCCCTACCAAACGACTGTGATATGGATGAATATTGTAAAATATTCGATTACAATGCTGAAAGACAACTGCAACCGATGACTGTCATGAGCGCATTATTCAAAAACGAACATCATATTGACGTGTTCCATAAAAGGTTTTTAACGTTTTTATCTTATTTTATCGTGTGTTATCTTCAATTGATTCATTGCTCATTCATTTAGCTACGCAGCCAAAGTGAATTACTGACTTTAAATTGAAACATTTCATGATAATCAGTTGTTTTGTTGAATCGTGACTGAATACATTTAGTGCAGATAAGTTTGTATTGGTGAATAATTTTCGAGTTTGTGTTTCGAAAAAATCTTGCGTTTAATGTTTCGTTGCTTATCGTTAATGAGTGTTTTAGTAAGTCTTTTTCCACATTGCTATCTCGAATCGTTACAGATGCAAACTATCGAATGTCGAGAAAACACTTGCTGAGTTCATTGTTCAAAGACGAGATGAAGCGCGAAAAAATTTGAATTGTGAAAAATATTTCAAAGATCTGATATTGGATCTCGAATCAGCACCTAGCCACGGTAGCTTTTATATTGAAATATTGTATTCTGGTTCAATGTTCTCCATTTATGCATTATGTAAATATTTTTTCTAAAGGTCTTCCTTGTTGTTGTTGCAAATCTTTTCATTTCGACGGGTTTTGGACTAGCGCTGAATGCTGCTGTATTGTAATTTATGTTGTTTAATTCTAATGACTGATGCGTGATGGTGGTTCAGATAAAAAGCGAATGTGTGGTCGTGAGATGGTGCTGGAACTTTTGAAATACATTTGTGCATCGCCACAGTTTATTGACGAAATGAGCAAATGGGAGTTGCCTGTATTTCCGGTGAATGGACACGATTTACTTGGAATACTAGTGCAAGGTGGACCGCTAATGCGTAAAGTGCTCACACATCTATTTGAAATTTGGAAAAATGTACGTATTGAATTGAGTTTGAGTCATTTCCATTACAAATTTCAATTTTTTTCTCAGTTGCTGATAAGATTCAATTTCTGTATGTGTGTAATATTTGCGTATTGAAAATGTGACTCTCTTTGAAGATCTCATTTAAGCACAGTTTCCACTTATTTCATTTTTGCTATCTATGAACAGTTTTGATAATGCATTCGTGGTCGATTACTTGTCCAGTAAAGATTATTTGAGAAAATTCTCAGTGAGTATGACGTTAGCGTGATACATCCTTCTTTTTTTTTCTCTAATGCATCGAAGAATTTTTATTAGTTGATGAATTTTAGATAATAGAGAAAGAATATATTCCAGGACGAATACAAAATCGGTCGTGACGAACTCTTGAAGCACATCAATGCGGAACTTTTAGAGAGTTTTGCTAAGGATTTGCCAAAGAAGATGTCAAAAAAACGTAAAAGTGGTGGTACTTCACCCACGAAAGAGCTGGAAGGTGAAGTGTTTATGCGATGAATTTTTAAAATAATCGAGCCATTGACGCAATCAGTTGAATGCATTTGCATTGATCGAATGAATATTACCGTAGTGCATGAGTGTTTCATTGTTTGTTTCGTTTTTAAACGATGAATTATTCATTTCATTTGTTTAGTGAAACGCGAAAAAAAGTAATCTGGAAAGAGGGCAAATGCTGGAGATAATAGCGGTGGATGAATAATTTTTGTGTATATATGTGGTCATTCTAGTGACATTTGTATGTATATCAGAAGTGGGAATAGTTTATTTCGATGTGTTGTATTGATTTGTATTCCTTTATTGTTCATCGTTACTATTTTTATTGATATTGTGCTCCGTTGTTAAATTTACACTGACATTTTAATGGTCCATTGTCAAAATTTATTGGTTATAATAAATTATATATGATGAGCAGCATTGTGGTTAACTGATACAGCATTATGGAGAGAAACTGTTTTGTGGGTATTCATTGTTGAAAAGAATTAGGATGAACGAACTATGGCTGCCCGTGTTTGAGAAGAGATTTACTAAAGGATCCAATTGCTCATCAAAGCATTCAGTTTTCGTGAGATTTCTCTCTCACGGATATTAAAGGATCCAATTCCTCATCAAAGCATTCAGTTTTTTCGTCAGACTTTTCTAACGTACGCTACCTAATGAGCATTGAAATCACGTTTCACGACATTGAGCATTATCAAATTTCAAGTATTTTCCGAGAGATTTTTGAGCGGTTTCTCGGTGGAACTTTGGCCAGGTGGTTGTGATCAAAATGGTAATCTGAATGATGGATTTTCGAAGTTTTCGTGGGTCAAAAAATTTGCAGACGTAATGAGATTTTCTCTTATCAGAGTTTCTTTCACGTTTTGATGATGAGTGAAGAATGAAATGGTTTGGTGCGGACGACTTATATGACAGAGAGACCAAATTGAGTTAGGTGAAATAATCAAAGTAATCGAAGTCCATTGGGGACGGTTGAAGTGTAAAGTGTTTTTTTGGTTATCAAAGTGTAATTTGTTGTGCAGAATATCAATTTCAGATGTACTCTATCTATGAATTCAATTATATTAATGAAATTTTTAGTGATGAGTGAAGCCTTTGCAAGCCTGATGATCCAATGTCAAATCATTCGCCATCAATGAATAAATACGACGTTCTTCAATTTTTGACGAGGATTCCTCCGAAATGCCTCTTATTATCACTTTAAGGTACTTTCTGTTTTGGGTGATGTATTTGATAAAAGTCCATCCAATTCACGTTTCATGCCACGGTACCAGATGTTGTTGGATATGCAATTTTTAGAATTTCATTTGTTCCACATTAAGCGCTTATTTTGATATTTTCAATATGGTTTCCAGTCGGATAGTAGCAGTTTTTGAAGGTTTGGGTGTCATCGTGATTATGAACTGTATGACCGAGCTAGCTTTGATTTCGCATAAACCATCAAATTTTCAAAATGTTTCAGTAGGATTTCAAGGTTCCGTGAACAGTCGAAGTTTACCATATCGCTAGTATGCAATCCGCAGTATTATCCACTTATGTCCAATATTGTATACTTTCATCCATCATATGAGATATTTGGTATTAAGTTCTTGTGGACTATTAATGTGATCTTGATATGTTCATCGTTCCGGTGACCAATGAATTCTATAGCGCTGGACAATACGAAAATGAAATTTCAAAGTTGTTTTTTCGATCTAATTTACCAAATCTCATAAGATTGTAAATCGTGCGATCTAAAGGGCATTTTCAGTACTATTCAATTTTTTCAGTTTAATTTAATTTGCCATAAATTTACTCAGCCGAATGGAGTCATATCCAGTCATGAATGACTGATGTACTCTATTCTGCGTCTGAGTTCAAAACGACTGAAGCTTCTCAAAAGAAGAGCAGAATTATAAGAGACAGATAGAGAGTTCCAAGCATCCCACCAACCCGTTCGGTTCTCCTAAATGGAATCATTTTTAGCTCTTGATATCCCTTTTTATCACATCCATCAAAAAATGTCATGGAATCATCCATTAGATGATATGAGCCATTCTCAGTGGCGTTGATCCATCAAATCGGGCAGATGTCCAATTAGCTGATCGAATTGACAAAAAATGATCATATCCATTCACAAAATTCAGATAATGAATATTTCATATACTTGAAAATACTTGAAAACAATTGGGATTAGAGTCGGATAATTAGTGGATGTTTTACATTATTACTACTTTACTTATTTGTTCGCTGGCGAAACATGGAAACCTGCAAAAAGTTTTCATATGCAATGCGATTTGATTACTTGCAAATAGACGTGTTTGTTGTGAACAAATGCATTTTTCAATCGCTTCTTCTTCGTATTTTCATCGTTTTATTTCGCAAACTTGATTATGCAAGTATTGCAGCACTCTCAAGAGAATATTTTAATCCTGTTGCTTAAGGATAACGTTGTTATTTTCATCAATCCACTCAAAGATACACTGCTTATTTATTCGTTACTTTCAGACGAATGCGCCACTCCCCTTCGTGTCGGTTTTGCTCGTTCGGCTCAATGTTTTGGCTCAATCTTTATTCTTATGCACCGTTCACTTTTCATCATCATTCGTCACTTTAATAGTTCTTCTGCGAAGACAACTTTCAATGCAACCGAAATTTAGTTATCGGCCGTAAAT